TTTCCCTAGGGTGAATATCAAGGCCAAAATGATGACATGAATGAAAGAAAGGTAAAATACATTTCAAAATTTATTTCATATTATCTTTAATATGATAAATGGGAATTAATGTTCTAAAGGGCTTTGTAAAGTGTTAGCCAGTGCTGAAACAAGTAGATGTTTTAACTGATACATACAGTTTTGCATTACATATTTTTCTGTATTTTGGTATGTAAAAATGTTGTAAATAAATTTAATTTGATATTTACATCTTTAAATGCTCCAAGTTTCCCTCTGTATGCATAAAGGAGATTTTTCATCCTGTTAGGAAGCAAAAGTGGTTAAATAACTTACATAACAATTTTCTGTCTGTAACCAAACAGTACAAGACAACAGTGGTTACTGGAATAAAACACAGTTGTATTTTTATCTAATTGTGCATTCAATTAAATTGCATTCTAAAAATCTGCTTCCAATTATTTTGTAAATAATGCTTATAGCTATCAAAAGACATTTGAAAATAGATCACCTGCCAACTGTTTGCACTAGAGAATCTGGGTGAATTCAAACTGTTTAGTACAAGAAATGGCCAGAAACACTTAATTACTATCATCTATTAAGATCTATTCCATATTGTTCTTTAATGTCTGCTCATTTTATTTTCCTTAATATGTAAATAATAGGATAGGAGGTGAAGAGGGAAAATAATAGGGAGAGAAAGAGGAGAGAAGAATGAAGAAAAAGGGAATATTCACCATACATACAGTATTTACCATCCTAGAAACCAAATAGCATATATTTTTGGTGACCTGTAAATGATTTCATAATTGTTTTTAAGTCTGTGGTGTCATATCTTGGTATGTGCCATCTGTTGCTTGAAGGAGAGGCAGGAAAATGCCATTAACTTGGCAAAAACACAGTGTTATTCTGAAGAGGATGACTGCCACAAATGATGATTATTTGACCATTTGAAATGAGGAGTGAGTTCACAGGTCACACAAATAAATGTGATTTCTCCAGTGCTGGGTTAGTAAAGTTTGAAACCACAATCTTCTTCACAGTTTTTGGTAAATACTATTTAAGATACAGCCACTAGATGTCTTCCCATGCTGTATACAATTAAATTTAGTCTATGAAACCTGGTTAGCAAAAGAAGCAAAGTTAGAAAAGAAGCAGAGTTAGAAAACAAACTATAGTAAAAGAGGCCAAGTTAGAAAACAAACTATAAAGAAGCTTCTACATTTGTGTCTGTTACTTTGAACTTTTTGTCCATGAAGAAATTGCTCTGCACTTGCAGAATTTTCCCTGAGCAAGTGATAGAGACACAGTAAGAGACTCAGAGGCAGCTCCAGAGATTACTGACTTAGAAGGTTAGCAAAATTTTTAGAGAGGAAAAGTAAATGAACATTAGTCAATGGAGGAAGATTGGGTACTGTGGAATAGGGGGTAAGAGGGCCTAAAAGAACTAGTGTCTGGAAAAATATTCACCCTACTAATTGTATTTTTTGCTGCCTTCTTTTTATTCTGCCTATTAGGCTCAGTTATGAAGTGTTAGGTATTAAAAACATAAAAGCTTCTTTCCAGAAATACTTCATTGATTATTCACATATGTCTCTGCTGCCCAGCCATTGAATCTTCTGTAGTATTCCTATGCAAACATCATCTGTTTTCTATCTGAATCTAATAGTCTCAGTGTTTAATTTCCTGAAAAACCCTGATCAGGTTTAAAGGAAAGGAGGGCATTTTTGAGCTGAGGTTTTTTTTTTTTTTCTGCCCCTTTTTATTTTGCCCATTTTAACTTATCTGTATCTTCCATTTCAATTTTCTGTTGTATAAGCCCAAAACATGAACAGTCCATCTGGGTACTTATGCCAATAAAGCAACACAGGTAATTAAGGTTTATGTGCCAGTTCATAATAAAAAAGGTTAATCCTTACCAACCTTCTTCAGAATTTCCTTGGAGAAAATGCACAGTGAAACAATAATATTGCCACGTCCTATGAGAATTAGAAATTTGCAGTTAATCAAACACTCAGACTAAGAGGGTTTTAGTCTTTCCTAAGAGTGTTGATTGGTATAAGGGTCTTAGTATGATTTCTCCTCTAGAAAAAAATATTTTTAAGAAAGCTAGTGCACAGCATCATGGTAATAACTCACCATGAGTATAAACACCAGCTTGGTCTTCCTCAAGCTTCTAGCCCACTGGCAACTTGCAACCCTTCATTGCTAGCAGTCACTTGACATGAAGAAATCCATGAGACAACTTGCAACCCTTCATTGCTAGCAGTGTGTTTGACATGAAGAAGTCCATGAGGGTTTCCCTACTTGGAAAATACACTGTTGTCATATACTACATCCCTAGAATATTAGAAGCAGACTAGAAAACACTATAAACTTGCAGAAAGTACTGTTTTTAAGAGAAGATGATAGAATAAGTTAAAGTATATTACAAAACTCATCCTATAATTCCTTTCAATGTAATAAGTATCATGAAAGGAGGTACATTCTGGCTTCCAGATTAAGCTTAATCTTGTAAAATTGCAGTGTTGAGTTTGGTGTGGACAACACACATGAATGGAAAATTTTCATGCCATAAACTCACTTTCGGAATTTGTGGCTTTTGGAATCAGAATAATCAGTGTGACTCTGCAGCCTGACATAATGCCATAGCAACCTGTACCTGAATGGAGTGCAATTTCAGAAAGACCTTTCATTTTACTCTTCAAATTCCATTCTGTAGCTACATTCCAAACAGCCTTTAGACAGTTTTAAGAATTTAATAGCTTTACCTTTCTCATTTTGCATATTTCAGTGAATGCCTTTATTAGTATAATTATATATGAAAATAAATAACATTTTGCTGTTAGTGTAACAATAACAAATGCTGTGAGGTAATGGATTTTGACTAGGCAACAACAAGTATTTACATGAAAATATCAATATGTCAGTCAGGGCAATCCTCTTCAACTCCTGATGAAGCCAGAGAAAATCTAGCCTAGTCTCATAATTTCTTTCCACAAGTGCAAAGCATGTGCTCTGCAAGAGCAATATTCTAAAAGCCAACACTCCACAATCCTTGAATCTCATTGCTGAATTTCCAGTTTCTTCCACAGTGTAGGGTTTACTCTCTGATCTGTGAAGAGAAAATACTTTATGCTGTATTTTTAATGAGTAGTCAGTGGCATAGCTCTGTTCACTTAGTTTCCATATTCTGAGCAATAATACTTCATCAGGTGGATGTTTGCAGGGTCCAGGTTTAACTGCTCACTTGATATTTATTTAGTTCTTCCACATAGCATCTGCAGGAGGAGAGGCATTCTAAACAGTAGGAAAATGCAATTGGAAAGCCTCAAAATATGTCAAGATAACTCTGCAGTTACAGTACCTGAGATTTCTCCACACTGATTTTAATTGTACCATCTGCATCACAGGATGGTGTAGCATGCTGCTACCTGTCAAAATCTGACATCTGAAAGATGCAACTTCTGATAACTGCAAAACCTATATGTATTTTCCTCCTAACATCCTCTGCAGCTCGTGCTGGTTGTGTATTCATGTGCATGTGTTGCTTGGTTTGTGTCTTACTCCCCACCAAAGTTTACAGAAGAATAGAAGCATCCAAAATGTTAATTCAGTTGCTTCACATTAACTACAGTTTCCATGGGTGAGGGACAATCAGTGCTTACAGCAAGGGAGGAACTGAAGTAAGAGGTCACAGAACCACAGAATCATTTAGGTTGGAAAAGATCTCTAAGATCACTGAGTTTGGCTTTTGAGGCTGGACTTGATGGTCTTCTTGAGGTCAACTCTTGGAGTCAGCAGATATGCCACTCAGAAACTCATTCTTAAAACAGTTTCATCACTACTCCAATTTCACTAGGAATGATGTGGAGTCTTATTTTAAAGGAGCTAACCTCATCTCTCACATGCTGCTCTCTTTTATGGACTCCTTCCACTTCTTTTCGGAAAAGAGGGACAAAAGGCTTGACACCTGTCTTTTTGGATGATACAGATTTATAATCTATAAATAGGGATGTAGTTAATTTAGTTTCATTTATAATAATTTTGTCATTATATAGTATTTTTCTATGCACTCTCTCCTTCAATAACAGTTTTCAATGTCCATGTTGTCTTAGACTGTCTACAGTCCTTTCATAGCATAAAACATTGAAAGGCATAGGAACAAAGCAGGTGGTTCCCTCTTGCATGGGACTGCCCTGATTTTTATTTTCCTCTGAAGATAAAATATGATGAACAGTCAACTGACAAGAGATCATGATGATGTTGGTGGTAAAACACTGGAACATGCCCAGGGAGGTTGTGGATGTCCCAAACCTGGCAGTGTTCAAAGCCAGGTTGGCTTTGATTAACCTGATCTGGTGGGAGGTGTCCCTGCCCATGGCAGAGAGAGGAGTGGGACTTGATAATCTTTAAGGTCCCTTCCAACCCTTTAGCATTCCATGTTTCCATGTTTCCTCTGACCTTAATTCTGGAAACCTTCAGTTTTGAATGTCCTTTCTGGATTATTAATAGATTCATCCACAGTTATAAAATGTACTGCTATAAAATAAACTCGTTTACCAAATTCTTAATTGCAGAATTACAATTGCAGAAATTGTAATGTCTATCCCCCACCTGGCTCTTGTTTCAGAACAATGGGGTTTCTTTCACACCAGAATTATCAGTTTGTTTAACAGCCTCTTGTAAAGGTTTCTTTCCTTCTCTTTGGAAACTCAGCAAAGTTGTGTCACATAGATCACAGCAAAAGAGGGACTAATGAAGAGTATCAGTTGAGTGTACTGTGGTTAATATACCACAGGCCCTGAAATGTTTCCTTTTATCCCTGACTCTGTTCCTGTTGGTTTCCTTTCATTGGAAGAAGTTTCTGTAGAAGTTGGGCCTTCCTTTGAGCTCTCTGTAAGCTGTGGATGAACTTGCATAGCCAACAGCAGATGTGAACTTGTGTGTCCAAGTGCAGCATAGGGAGAAAAGTGGCTTTTATATGGGCTCTACAGGTAATAGCATCCTCAGGGGCTGAGAAGGAGAGCAAACTGGTTTTGATACATTTATTACCACTTGGTATGTTTTTACACACCAGTTCACCAGTTTTGAACTCTTACCTCAGTTCACTTTGCCTTGGACATGGAAACACTGGTCAGTGACTTATCTATGGCATGATTCCAGACATTAGCTAAATTGCATCATAGAAGAATTTCATTCTTTAAGCAGGATTATTTCTAGGATCTTTCTGAAGACTTCCCCAAGACTGCAGCATCTTGTATTTTTTTCCTTTTTGACCCTATTTAACTTCCCTGTGTAATAAAGGTGGTGAGGAAGGGGTAGGTATGTGGAGAAAGATGTGTGTAGACTCTTCTCACATTGCTGGCTTGGTTGGAGGTTTCTATAACTGTGTGAAAAACGTTCTTGCAAGTTTGCACTGAAGTATGAGAAGATGCATTTTTTGATACATATATATTTAACTCTTAGAAGATGTTTGTAAAAACAGATGGGATCACTTGTTTCAAGTTAATTTTCAAATTTTTTTTTTCCCTATTTATTTAGTTGCTGTATCAAGAATGGGCAAGATATGGAGCATTTTACAAGTTTCAGCCTATTCATCTCATAAGGTAATGTGGATTTGTATGAAATATTAAGGGAACTAGTTCTTAGCTGATGTAGATTAATGAATTTCCAGTTACTTTAGGAAAAGAAATCTTGGATTGATCAGAGCATTCTAAATAATGTTCCCACTGCTTTTCTGTTTTTCTGCTTTTCTGGATCTGATGATAGTTTGCAATCACAAAAATACACTTAGAAATTATGTACCTATGTTTTTGTATAGTGCTTATTCCTGGAAAAATTTCATACTTCAGATTGGTTCATTGGTTGTTTTTTTTTAAATGTATTAATTCTTTCAAAGAAAGAGGAATTTCCATTTACATTGATGAATTTTTATTGGAGAGTATGGTCACAAAATCTGGTGACTAATCAGAAGCTGGTGTTCACATCATGAATCAGTGTGAAAGTATTTGAGGGTTTTAAAAGTGATTTGATTTTTTTTTTACCCCTAGTTTTACAAGTTTTATTCATCTGAACTCATCTATATGTGTTCTCAGTGGGTTTTTGGTGTATTTTGACTTTTGTCTTTACAAACATAAAAGAAGTTGGGCTTTAAATAAGACAAGACAAACCAACCATGCTTTTTAAGGATTTTGCACAATATCTCTAAAAGAAAGCAAAAAACCCCCCAATTTCTGTTGTATAATATAAATGCTGAGTAAAGAAAAGAGATGCTTGAGAAAGCTGCTGACCTGAAATATTCTTATAGATATGTCCAGGAATAAATGAACTGTGATATTAATTAATGATAACAAAAACCCCCAAACCAAATAAAAAACAACCCAACCCAAACCAAATAAAAACCAACCCAAACCAAACAATAAAAAAACCCCAAACCCCCTAAAACTCCAAAAAATCTGTTTCAGGATAATTTTTATTAATAAGAAAGATGACGTTCATTAGCATTTGAATAATCAAACTCAAACTAGGATTTTTTTATAAGATCTACCCAATGTGATTACCTGCAAAAGCTGATGTTGGTAATATGGATAGTCAATAATCAATGTAAAATAAGTTTATTGTAATTTGAGTTAAAGTTGAAATACTGCATATAGATTTTCAAAGAGTGAACCACTAACTTTTACTATGAGTGGAATTGCTCTTATTGGGACCAAGATGTTTCAAATTGGCAAGTGGTAATGAGACCATCAAACCCTATTGAAGTTCTGCAAGGCTCTGAAATTTCCTCTCTTTCTGCCTTAATGCTTTTGTGCAAGATTTGTATACTTTTTGAATAGCAGTTATTCCAGGCCAAGCTACTGCATGGAATAAGATTGCAACACCTTGTATGTTGTTAGTAAACACTCTACAAATGTTAAGTTAAACTGTGACTGCCTAGAGGAATTCTCAAGTTTTACCAGACCTGGCAGCTCAGCTGAATTAAAAATAGAGGTACATCTGCTTACACTCCATCTTCATTTGGATTTTGCTGTCTCCATTATAATGTTTCACTATGCTGATATGATTTCATAGAAATTCTGTGGTTTAAATTTCTGTGAGAAACAAAAAAAAAATAATAAAAAGACTAGACATGTGCAACTGATTCTCTGTTCTCAGAGATGATTTTTCTTGCTTTTATCTTCCATACTTTGCTTGACTGCAAGTTTGACTGTTACCACTAAAATAAATGTGGTTTTTATTTCCTGGGTAATGTTAGAGCTTTAGTGTGTATATACCTGAAGAATTGCCACCCTCCTTTTTCTGCAAGTGAAGTAGGTTTCTCCACTCCTTTACTGCAGGGGGGAGAGCTCAGTCTCAATGTGGATACTTATTGCCTTGGCACACATCAGTCACACTTTGTGCAGTTTGATAGTTTACTGTGATCCTTCTTTCTTAGATTACTTAGATAATACTTAACCATTTTTTTTCTGATTGTGGCAGTGATGTGTAACTTAACAAGTTTATATTCAGGCTTTGATGGACAGAAGAAGCAGCACTTGTTTTGCAGTATACTCAAAGCCTGTTCTGACTGGTGCTTTAAAATAAATTAACTCTGTCGAAGTATGTGCTTAAATAATATTCATATCCCCAAATTAATTAGACATTTTTAGTCTAATTTTTAATGCAGCTTGCAATGGTGCAAATATTTGTAACTATTCCTGGTTTACCTTTATTCAGTAGGAAAGCAAACTGAAAGTCATTTCTTAAGTGAAGTGCTTGTGCTGGAAGACTATATAGGGAATTATAGAATCACCATTGCTGAAAGAGACTTTTCAGGTAGATCATCCAGTCCAACCATCCACCAGCACTACCACTGTAACCCCTAAACCCTAAATCATATCACCCAGTGCCAGATCCAGATGTCTCTTAAACAGCTCCAGGGATGGTGATTCCACCATCTCCCTGGGCAATATTCCACTGCCTGTTCAGCCTAACAGTGAATTACTTTTTTTTTTCTGATGTCCAATCAGAATTTCCTCTGTCTCATCTTAAGGCTATTTCTTCTTGTCCTCTCACTGCAGACATGGCAGAAGAGACCATCCCCCACCTCTCTATAACCCCCTGTCATGTAACTCTGGAGAGTGATCAGGTCCCATATGGCACCATAGAATTATTATAAATTATTTCTGGTGCCTTGCCACCTTTCTTCTGACCACACAGTTGTTGCCAGTTTCCAATTGATTGTACAGCAAAGCCAGGACCCACATATCTGTTATGCTCACTCTTGGTGCAGATTGGAGATTCTCTGAGGTCTCTTCTAAGGTCTGATATCCTGTGAGAATTTAACTGCATGGTGAGAATATTTTCAAGTTCAAATAACATCAAAGGAAATAAAGGACCATTATGGTATTCACTGACAGTTCCATTCATCTCTGTCTCTTACTTAATCTGTAAAAGTATTCAGCTCTGGTTTTGTGGTCCTCTTTGGGCCACAAGGAAAAGCTAGTTCTTGTGTAAAAGAAAGAAATGTAGCTTTAAGTGAGGAAGGTTTCATCAAATAAGAACACCCTGGGTGTTACATATTTCTATTCTGCAGCAAAGCAATTTCATTTAAAAGCTTACAGGGAGTATATAGTGCAGATCATGCAAACAGTACAGTGTGAATTGGGGTTGATTTGTAAATTTTATAACACCTCATCTGTCAGTGCAAATCCAGATATAAAATCACATTACTTAAAACAAAGCCTGGCTCATGCAGTGCTTTATTTTCAGAATTATATGAATATCTAAATGCAGCCATATTAATTCAATTTTTGCCTTTCATATATGCTTATTTTCAACTCAGGTGAAGAGGATGATAAACATCTCTTTGAGAGGGAACTGATGAATTATTTGCTAACAGGTGTCTTAGGCTAGAAGTACTGAAAATGGTTTACCTTGTCTCCAGTCACCCTTGGACTGGGAAGGCATGAGGGATATATTAACAAGTAGAGAATGAAAGCTGCAGTTCTGGGATGTGTAGGACTCTAGAGATTTGTCTGTTATAAAAAACATGAAAGCTGCAGTTCTGGGATGTGTAGAGCTCTAGAGATTTGTCTGTTTTAAAAAAACTTTTTTGTAATCCAAATTTAAGTATTGATTTTTACTAGAGAGGGGTTTCTCTGGTGTGGCTTTCTGGTAGGAATGCACTTATCAACACTGGATCCTCTCAGTCCTTGTAATGTAATATAAAAGGTGCTGTAAAAATGTTCGTGGTTCAGTGATTTTCTTGTGTTTTGATGATTTTCTTTTCTAAAATGTAGGTAAGTTCAAACCCAGTTTTTAGCAAGTTCTGTGGTGGTGTTACTTTTGATTCAGAGGCAGGGAGGACACTCTCTAAGAGTTTTATGACCCTTTATAAAGAAAGGTTTTATGATTTTTATTATATATGTTCTTAAATGTTAATCAAAGTTTTAACAATGTGATTCTAGAATTAATAGGTTGTCCTTAGACCTACCTTCTCCTCCAAGCAGGGGGACTGGCTTGAAAGTCAGATCAAATCACTCATGAGTTTTGAAATCTCTAAGGATGAGATCACACAGCTTCTCTGGTACCTTTTCCATCACTGAACTGCTCTCAGGAGGAAGAAAATTTTCCTCCTGTCCAGACCAAATATTCCTTGATATGGCTTACAGCCATTGTTTTTTGTCATTTTAGCAAGTCAAAAAAATACACAGCAAATACAAGAAGTGCAGTAGAATTTATAATTAAATATATTTCTGGTTCTAATGCAACCTTTTTCATTTAGGAGCTCTAAATGACAGAGGAAGTGAGTAATCTAAGGTTACTGATATCACAAAGGGGTGGTTATGCTTCCAAGACAAAACCTTAACTCCTGGAAAACTGGAAAGTTTTCTTCTGAATGGACATCTTGAAGCACCTGCAGATGCAAATCCATGTTTGAACTGAAATCATTGTACAGAGGAGATCTCCTTTTGATATCTTGTTATTAATATAGTGTTACCTCACCCCAGGAAAATCAAACAGAGCTGGTTCATTTTTAATTGTGGTGGAGCTTATTTTAATATTAATGCTTCTATAAGGTCCCAACTCATCACCTACTTCTAATCCATCTCATTTGTCATGTTTTCATTTCTATTTCCTATTGCTAGGACTTCACCAAACATCCTAAGAGCTAACAGGCTACATTATCCATACCATGGTTACTTTGAAAGCTCCAAATGGCTCTGGCTGTAAAGCCTAAAACTGGGAAGGCATGTAAAGATTAAGACTATGTATACAATAACTCTTTTTGCAGGAGTAGGTAGAAAAGTGTGTTAACCAAAGTATTATTTATAGTGTATGGCATGTAAATCAAAACTTGGGAGTTTCTGTTTCTCAAACTGTCTACCTAATATATTTCCTCCTTCCTATTTTTAACTATGCTTTTCTTTGGTATGGAAAATTGTTTCAACTCAGTGTGTGATGAATTCTGACCTTTCGTTGCCTCGTACCCATGTTGAACCTGCTCTTGACTGAACAGTCAGAGCTATTCTCACCTGCTCCTGCACAGGAATGCTGTTCCTAAAGCACAGCAGCCTGTAGCCTGCTCTTCCTGGCAGTTTTTAAAGCAATGACAGACCTATGA